TGTGTGTGTGTGTGTGTGTGTGTGTGTGTGTGTGTGTGTGTGTGTGTGTGTGTGTGTTGGATAACGTAAAAAAGTGCAACAGCGAGCTAATTTGAAACCAATTACATGTAGTCACAATATACAGACTGATTTTCATTATGGCCTACCTCTGAAAATGTTTTATTGGTGCGTTTCTTTTTGTCTTGATGTTGTTTTTCTCAAACATTACTTTCAAAAAAACAGAAATAAGCACGATGAACAACAACGGCTATCGCGATAGATAGATAGATAGATAGATAGATAGATAGATAGATAGATAGATAGATAGATAGATAGATAGATAGATAGATAGATAGATAGATAGATAGATAGATAGATAGATAGATAGATAGATAGATAGATAGATAGATAGATAGATAGATAGATAGATAGCATCCATAAAATCATTAGGAGGTCGTAATGAACAGTGTGGATAGTGAAAAACAAAGTATTTCGCAAATCTCTTCGTCAGGTACATTTGATTGCTGTCGACAAATGCGTTCCTTTACAATAAATCCACAAAATAATCTTTAAAGTGCCGTGTTAAAAAATTCTGAATTAATCAAAAAAATACATTTTGAAAATAACGGGACTAAAAATAAACACGCACACAAACACGAAGAAGGAAGTGCATTGACATTTACCCGTTGCGAAAACGGTAACACTGGAATTGGCAATAAAACGGGACATTAAAACGTAAATTCGGCTAGCGTGTTTGTTCATGACTAACCATTTTTAAAGAAATGTTCAAGTTTCCTCAGTTCTTTTTTTTTTGCCTACACCCACATACAAAGTTGACTTATTCTTACTACTGGAGATCTATGACGATATAGACAGATAGATAGATATAATTTTTGGGGCCATGTCAACGGTTCAAGGGAGGTTTTCAATTAAGGCAGATAGAGTAAGAGCTAATTGTGGCTCATAAATTACTCACTTAATTACATCAAACTATGATACCAAAAAATAATAAATTACTCGTCTATATCACCAGACTGCCCTGATCATTTATATTTTTTTCCGCATTACCCACGCAATCGGGTTGTGCAGTTCACGACCATTTTTACGAGTAATTTAACTTTGTCTACATCAAATCATATTCAAAATCTAATTATTTCGATGCGAATCGTAAGTCTACTTCTTCAATATGAAAAGTGTGGTAAATGCAGCCTTGGCTTATTTGTTTCCTCGTTTCGTACAAGAAGGGCGACAAAGATTTTTGTTTTTTGTTCGTTTTGTTGAGATGTCATCCATTCACTGATGCTGTGGCAACTGTATCAAAATACATTTTCACAAAGGAAGCGCTTCTTAGTATCTACCTGCTGCGGTGGGACTAAAACCGGGTTTGTCGGTGGAGTTTCCGAGTGGCTCTGTGCATGACTGTCTCTGATCCCGGACAGCGTGCCGGAGAACAACCGTTTTTCACCCGCTGTTGCTCCATTCTGCGTGTCCAAATGATCCGGGCTGAGCATGGGTTGGACTCCTTCCTCGTTAAAGCTCGGTACCGGTTCTTCTCTCGTCATTGAAGGCTGGAATCCTGCAGCGGGGCACGCAACGGTCCCCCCTCGATTTATCAATCTCTGAACACAATCCCCCCCAGGTCCCTGTACCGCTATGTCCCGGTTCATGACTTTAATCTTCCTCTGCCATATATTTCAAATCCAGATTAAAAAAGCGAGTTTTTAAAAAGAGAATCGCTCAGACCAAGCAGTACAAAATCAACTTTGTTATTCATATCAAAGTAGCAAATCAGCTACTCTCCCACCAAAGGTGGTTAGTGAGTCCAGTCGACATCCAGAGTTTTCGCACTGTTCAAGTTTTCCATAGGATTATGAGAGGCTTTAATTACTGCGTTCGCTTGCCAGGTTCCGTCTACTTTTAGTTTTCTTGTCTTCCGCGCCTCCCGTCATCTTCCGTTGCGTCACAGCACAGCGTCTTTACTTTTGTAATTTATATTTCGACAAAACATCGCACTCGGGTTTGTTCCCGGTACGGCGCTCTGTGTCTCGCCCGAGAGCTCTGCGCGATCGGTATGTCACGGTCTTCTGCTTGCAGCAAGAGCCTGACAACATCTGAGGGAGGAGAGGCCCCTCCCCACCTTCCCGTTTAAGTGAAATCGGGCTTTTCTACCTCCAGCTATGCTCAGCGCAAGCGGGCACTGACGCCTATTTCTGACAATCTACAGCAGTGATTCTCAACTTTCTTTTTCAATTATGTGCACCCTGTGAAATATTTTTTTCATTCCCCTAATCATCGCAAACCATTTTGAATGGGTGGGTGGGGGTGGGGGCGTTGGTCGGGGTCGTGCAAGGAGTCAATTATTGTGCCATCAGTGTCTATTCATTAAATTTGGATACTCCTGCAGTTCAGGTATCTCTACAACTATTTAGAAATACAGTAAAAATAAAGACAAAAAAGAAAGAAATAATGAGTTTAATTATAAAAAAAAATATTTGTGCACTTTAAATAAACATCAACAAAAAGTGTCCACTTGTTCTGAAGAAGAAATCCATCCATCCATTGTCTAATCCGGTTTTCCTCACAAGGGTCGCGGGCATGCTGGAGCCAATCCCAGTTGTGTTCGGGCAGCAGGCAAGGTGCATAGACAAATAACTATTGGCATTCACAGTTATTACACCTATGGACAATTTAGAGCGTCCAATAAACCTACCAGGCATGTTTTTGGAATGTGGAAGGAAACCGTAGTACCAGGAGAAAACCCACACAGGCACGGGGAGAAAATGCAAACTCCACCACAGGAAGTTTGGGTCTGGAATCAATCGCGGACATCTGCACTGTGAGACGGATGTGCTTATTAGTTATCCACTGTGCCGCCAAATAGAAACCACTACTTGAATTTTAAATAAAAGCAGAAACAAAAAAAAGAAAAAAATCAATTGAATAATTAAATAGAGGACTGACAACATTACCATCTGTCAACACCAAATATTGCATTGTTGCACCAAACTTTTTTGAATTTCGTGGGACCATTTTGTGACATTTGGCCTTGTGCTTCACAGAGAATCTTTGTCATTTTGGTGGGAGGGAGGCAACTGCTACTTTCAAAATATATTTTGAATTCTCATTAAATCCCTGAAGTGAGTTCACATTCCCCCAGAATTACACATACCCTGATTTGAGGACCACTGATCTACATGACGGCAGCCCGATAGTCGAGTGGTTAGCACGTCGGCTTCACAGTGCAAAGGTACCGGGTTCAATTCCAGCTCTGGCCTTCCTGTGTGTGGAGTTTGCATGTTCTCCCCGTGTTTGCGTGGGTTTTCTCCGGGTCCTCCGGTTTTATCCCACATTCCAAAAACATGCATGGCAGGCTGATTGAACACTCCAAATTATCCCTAGGTGTGAGTGTGAGCACGAATGGTTGTTCGTTTCTGTATGCCCTGCGATTGGCTGGCAACCGGTTCAGGGTGTCCCCCACCTACTGCCCGAAGACAGCTTGGCTAGGCTACAGCACCCCCCACGACCCTAGTGAGGATAAAGCGGTTCGGAAAATGAATGAATGAATGATCTACATGATACATTTTTTGCTGTTCCACATAGAAAGTTTTCATCGGCTGTAATTCGTACAAGTAAACCAACTGCTTTGCACATCACAATACTCAACAGCAGCCCATTTATCTATAACTTAGGCATGATATATGCTCGTGAAAAGTAAGTATAAACACACAATTAAGTCAGAACCAACATTGATCAAGTTTATGCAACAACACATCACATGTAGATCAATTCTGATTTGAACCTTAAAAAAAACAGATTATATTTTTTCATTCATGAGCTGAATGGAGAAATATGCTTTTTTTTAGGGTTCAGGTTGCAAGACATTGGAATCTAGTTTATATACAAAGACAATGATGCAGTGAAGAAATGAAGACAAATGCAGCAGTGGCTGTGAATCACGATCAGCTCCAAGAGTCACAGTCAGCTCGAATTGGCGTTAGATGTTGCCAAGTGGAATTATCAAGTGCTTTGCAATGCTTATTGATGAGCAATTTTAAATGATGTGTAGCTGATGTGTTGCCTCTAGAGGTTTATTTGTGCATCCCCATGAGAAGAGCCCTTATCTTTAATGCTGATTCCAGAGCAAGGCCTCTCCCCAAAACTCAATTACGGACGAATAAAGCTGGTAATGTCCCTGCTGCAGTGAAATATTGATTCCTAATCCTTGGCAGTCATTATTATGCCAGAAAGTAATAGACCACAGAATTGGATTTTGATTTAACACATGACGTGTTTATTCTAATGCTGGGATCTTAACATTCCACTGACTTTTAACCATCGAGTGGAGGGGGTGGGCTGATGAAGGACAAGACCACACATTTACTGTATACTGTTGCGCAGGGGAAAAAGTTGACGCGACATCTTTCCTCACACGCTGCTTCCCTCATACACGTCACTGTGTCTATGTAATTGACTTGCTTAATGAACCTTAGGAGGAAGAAATTAAAAGTTGGGCAAAATAATTGAATGGAACACTGAGATCTGATTAGCCAGTTAGATCGCTGTAGCTACTGCAGATAAAGTATTTTGCTTTGACCTGAGGGTTTGTACGGCTTCTTTAAACGCTGACAGATACAATGGAACGGCAGGCAGGCAAGCGGACGGGCGGCCAGGGAGGCAGGCAGGCAGAGAGATAATTCATCTACCAGTAACTGTAAATTATTTCTTCATGTAGCTTGTTATTACAATCACTCTCGTTTGCCATCCAGCAAAAACAATGCATTGGAAAATGTAAAACATAATTTCATGTGAAAACAATGTCGCTCCCACCATCCCCTTTTGATATTATAACAAAACATTTCAGAGGCTATAACCAAGTGGGGTCAAAAATACGGCCCGCGGGCCGGAACCGGCCCCCAAGGAGGTTCAATCAGGCCCGCAGGATAATTTAAAAGACACGGAATAAATATTTTTAATACGGTGCAATTCATGGATGATCCGCTAGGGGACACACTGTTTTTATCAGAGTAGAAGACAACATTGTTTTAATCAGAGAAAAAGACAATAGCATTCTCAGTCTGTCACTGAGACAGACCCAACACAGCAGACGCTATCAAGAACATGTGAATACTTTATTCTTTACACATTTAATTGCACTCTCCTTAGTTTGTAAGGTGTAGGCAGGAATTAAAATTTGATTTTATATGCACATGTGTAAATGGTTTAAAAATTCTTTATAAATCTCGTTTAATCTTAGTGCATTACTATATTTTTCAATAGCAATTACTTTTTAAAGTTTTGTGACTTTGTACAATCAGTGGGATCAGCTGCAATGCATATATGTGAATGATAAAAGTAAATTGCACATTTGTCTAAGGCAGGGGTCACCAAAATGGTGCCTGCGGGCACCAGGTAGCCCGTGAAGACCACCTGAGTAACCCGCCAGTGCCTGGACATTGTGATTTGCAAGTAGAAATTATGATTTAAATATGCAAACACTGGCAGTATTGTGAGACATTTTTAAACACGATCAAAGTCTGACAATTTAAATCATCAAGTATTAAAAATAACGCACGCTCATATTACTGAAGGTATTTTCGACAAATACGTTATTTAAGACGTGTATCAATTTGGTAGCCCTTCACACAATCAGTGCACATGAAGTTGCTCTCATCCTCAAAAATGTTGGTGACACCTGGTCTAAGGAAATCTAAGGTGCTTCATGAAATCTTTTGTAAAAGATATGTTCATTAAATTGCAACATTTTCCCAATGTTCTTCTGCTTCTTTAGACTAAAACAAAGGAAAGCCATGATATTTTGGTTATTTATAGCATAGTAGGGTATAATTTTAATGGTCCGGCCCACTTGACATCTACTGAGGCCGTATGTGACCCACAACGTGAAATGAGTTTGACACCCCTGCTTAGAACCACATTGTTTTAGAGCACGTCACACCAGGGGGCGCACATGCGTACGGATCGTACAGGCCATACAATGACGCGGATCTTTCCCAAGTAACTAGGCAGTATGACCATGAAGAAGTCATTTTTCTATAATATACTGTATTCCTAAAAAAAATGTTTGGTGAAAAATGAATAGCTTTTGGTTTGTATAATTTCCAACCAATAACTAAAGACTGGTGCCAAGAGCAAAGTAAACGGACTGTGATGTATTCCCAGCAGCGTTAAGCGTTTTAAACGTTTCAAGCACGTATTTGTGTGTACCTCTACTTGTGTGTGGCGGTTGTAACTGAATCATAATTACGAGTAATTGCCCTCCCTTTACCACCCATGACAAACATGTACATGTACGGACGAGAGAGCCAGTGTCTGTCTAGTGACTAATAATTCTCATTAAGGTTAATGAGCTCAGTGTAGCCCCCTCTTTATTAAATTAATTGCAGACTGTAAAGAATCTTAATTAGTACAATCGCCGTTGCAGCTTGAGCTGCCTAATTGGATACTAGTGACTGCAGTGAGATGAAGAGCATTTTCTTACACCTCCGCTTTACTGAGAAGAACAAGGAAAAATGTATTTCTACCATGATTGGACCAATTAAAAAAAAACACAGATTCAAATATAAAATTCCTGCTCCTGCAAAGCTCATTCTACATTTGAAATTCAAGATTCAAACTCAAAGGTCAGATAACAAGGTTAACTCATTGTCATCATTTATTACATTTTAAACAGTAGCTACCGTTAAATTATAATAATAATAAAAAAAAGACTCTTCTCTGTGTATTGTGTTCAATGCATTCCTTCACCTACATGCAGGCAAGAATGGAAACAATAATACCTGTATATTGAAAAATAGCCTGTGACATGTAGTGTCGGTCATGTTAATTAAAAAAACAAACGGATTAGTTATAGTAACAAATTACTTGTTCCAAAAAGTAATTGAGGCTCTAACTCAGTTACTGCCTTGTAAAAGTAATTAGTTACTCAGCAAAGTAATGTTATTTTTCAATTGTGTTCTACCTAAAGTGTAAACAATTTTATAATAGTACCTGAATGATTAATAAAAACAATATATTTGAGAACATTTGATATTTACTCAAACTCAACAG